GACACAATTCAGCCCATAACAGGAAGTCTCTGTTTTTTCCACATGGGCTTCTCCACAGCCTGCATAGTGTCCTCAAGACATGGTGACTGACTTCTCTTGGAGAGAAGAGTCCAAACGGGTACAAGGTAAAGGCAGCAAGGTCTTTCATTACCTTGCTTCAGAAGTTGCACGTGGTCACTTCTGCTACATTCTAGAGTTAGAAGTGAGCACTAAGTCCGTCTCACACTTGAGGGAAGGAGAATTAGGCTCCACTTTTTGAAGAGAGGATTGTCAAAGAATTTCTGGACATATTTTAAAACCGCCGCAGCTGTTGTAGAAATATTTCCCTGTTGTTTTCTCATAGGATCCAATATAAAGATGTCTGTCTTTCCATTTTTTTATTCCTCAGTCTTCCATTTAAAACAGTCGCAAATCTAGAGCTCATCTCACCGATTGCATTCTTCTTAAAATTTCAGGGGCACATATATTTGCTTAATGCTTTTTCTTCTTGATGTCTTCTCTCCTGTGAAATAGATAAGCATCCTCTCCTCGGTGGATGAGGAGACCTTGCTTATCCTCCGGGTTGGCAGCCTTGCTCAAGCTAGACACCGTAAGTGTAGTCTTAGGCAGAGACTTATTCAAATCTGCATGAAGTAGGGAGGGAGGATATCGTCAGGGTTTTCCACTTGGTTCTATAAAATGGCTGCTTTGAGGAGAGGAGTGTGACAACTCAGGATGGATGGAGTCACAAGAACTTCCCGGGAGCCGTAGATGCTGCTGCTGATGGTTTTCAACATTAATCAAAGGATAGGCTTGAATGAAGTGGAGAAAATCTCATTCATCAAAATTCCCCTCAGCAAGATGACTCCATTTGTTTCGAAGTTCTGTTAAGCTGCTTGCAGCAGTGAGTGAGTGTGAGGGGCCAAGACAGGCCTGATGTGCTTGAGACAACCAAGAGAAATTTGTCCTGCTGGTGGGAGTGGGGCTACGGGACTAGGAAGCTAGAAAGGGCTACATCCTCTAGGAACTGTCCTCTCCATGTGACCCCATCCCCAAATATTTAGCAGGCTTGACCAAGACAAAGAATGCCAGGTGTGCATGCAGTTCTCCTGCAGACTGCTGAAGGGGCCGAGTTCTGGAGAAAGAGCAACAACCAGCAAAATGCATGAGTTCCAAGTGTGAAGGGGGCTGTGGGAATGCAAGACCCAGGGCAAGCAAGGGAAGGACATGACCAGGACATTGCATCACAGTGGGGTCTCTGTTGGCAGCTGGATCAACCTGGGGCTCCTGTTTCCAGCAGCCCACAAGTGCAGGCATTTCATCCTTGTCAGAAGCTCTGGAAGGCGAGGTGTGCCTCAGAAAGACTGCCTCAACAATTTCCCTTCTCTCCCACAAGTTTATTCCCATCCACATACAAATATGCTCTTGTATGTCCCTTCGAACAAACAACAAACATCTCCCTCCCCCCTCTAGTAATTGCCATCTCTTTGGCTCCCTTTCACAGTACAATTTCTTGAAAGTTGAGTACAGCTGATGTCTCCACAGGCTGGCTGGCCTTGACCCACTCTACCTATGCTTCTGCCCCAATATTCCACATAAATTGCTCTCGTCAAGGTCACCTGTGACTTCCGTGTTCACAGAGCCAGTGATCACTCTTGTTCCCATCTGGCAGATCCCAGCCTACAAAGCTGATTCCTCCCACTTCCTTCCAGCACTTTCTTCTCTTGCCTGGCTTTCCTCCTCCTTCACAGACCATTCCTGTCTCCTTTGCTGGCCCCTCTTTCTCTAAATCCCTAAGTGTTGACATGTCCTAGGATCAGTCCTGCCACTCTTCTCTTCCTCTTCCTGACCCTTGAATTCCTATCCCATCTACATGCTGATGATTTCCAAATGGACAACTTTCCACTTAGATGTTTAACGGGAATCTCAAATTTAAGATGTCCAGAATGGAACTTTTTGTGGCATGTCCTCCCCACACCCTACTGATGTAAATGATTTCAGTACTCACCCAGGAGCCCCAAACCAAAAACCTAGATGTCATCTCTACTTCCAGCCTTTCCTTCTCACACCAAATCAAATCCACCACCATGTTGGATTTTATGCTACCTTTAAAAAGTGTTTTGAATCCATCCACTTCTCTCCACCTCCATCATTTCCCTCGGCCAGACCACCATGATCCCACATGAACTGTGTCAACAGCCTCCCAGCTTCCTGCTTCCCCTTGCGTGCCCAAACAGTCCATTCTCACCCTTCAGCTACAGCTGGCTTCCTAAAATGCAAACCACATCACCTCCCATCACTCCCCTTCATTGACTTATCAAAGCACTCAGAACAAGATCTATCTCCCCACGTGGCCTGCCAGGCCTCCCACACAGGCCTGGCCTGCTTCCTGACGTCTGCGCTTGCTTCTTTCTCTTGTCCCACACATGCCAGCTACACTGCTGCTTGAACATGCCAAATGTAAGGACCTGGGAATTTACAGAGCTGTTACCTCTGCCTGGAGTGGGATCTGGGATCACTCCCAGATCTCTGCATGGCTGGTTCATTTTATTATTAGGCCATCTCTTCAGCGAAGCCCTTCCTATCCACCCAGTCTCAAGTAGCCTTTCTGCCACAACCAAGTCCCTCTTTCTTAGGCTCACCATTGTACTTAGTGCTATTTTCCCATGTTTTTCTCATGTTTCATGTATATGTATTTGCTGTGTCCCCTCCCTGCCCCAGTAGAACGCAGGCTACTCATTTGCTCATCTGGGTGCCTCCAGGCCCTGGTAGAGTGTCCACAAGGATGTGTTGACTGAATGAAGTGAAGGAATGAAGGAAACACCCCATAGTCTGTGTAGGTACTCATGATTAAAAATTACAAAACAAAAAAACCCTCACACTTTCTCCAGTCCTTCTAAGGAGTTAAAGGATGAAGGTGAAAGTGGTCACCCAGGGAAGCATCATGAGGTACGTGCTTGTCTCCAGGACATATGTCTTAGTCCACTAGGGCTGCTGTGACAGGATATCATAGACAGGGTGGCTGAGAAACAACAGAAATTGACTTCTCACAGTTTTGGAGGCTGGGAAGTACAAGAAGAAGGCGCCGGCACATCCAGTGTTGGGTGAGAGCCTGCTTCCTGGTTCATAGACTGCCATCTTCTCACTGTGTCCTCACATGGTGGAAGGGACAAAGGAGCTCTTTGGGGTCTCTTTCATAAGGGCACTAACCCCATTCATGAGGGCTCCACTCTCATGGCCTAATCACCTCCCACAGGCCCTCCCTCCTAACACCATCACACTGGGCATTAGGATTTAACATGTGAATTTGGGGAGGACACAGACATTCAGTCTATAGCCACACAGGAGCTCTTGAGGTTAAGTTCAGTGCTGCCTTGTCTGTGTTATGTCTTTGAGGACACAGATTCACTTCCACACTAAAGCTTTTTAAAAATAAGGACATCAACCAAGGACGGTGTTTAAAAGCCTGGGGCCTGGAGTCCCTTACCAGGTGCTCACCTGCTGTGAGATCTGGGACAAGTGACTTTAACCTCAATGTTATCAGTTTCCTCATCTGCAAAGTGGAGATAAGTACTTACCCCCAGAGGACGGTGGAGAGGATTACAAATCATACATGTGAAGCACTCAGAGCAGTGTCTGGCACACAGGAAGGACTCAGTAACTGCTCACTGTGTTTCTTCTTAGGAAAACCAAGGCTGGCAACTCGTTGTAGATTTTTACCATCTCCACTGCCACTCTAGACTTCCTACATCATCTCCAAATTTTGGCCAGTCTCAGTTCCTCTCATTATGGCAGAAGGTCACAACCTCCATGCAGGAGGTGGCAGCTGCAAGACCACTCCTCTGAATTCTCCCAGTGTCCTAAAAATCTGCACCCTCCTAACTTTCCAGGTGCTAGAGAGAATTAAACCAAGTCCTGAAACATACAGAGAATATCAACATCTATTTGAACAAAACCGAAACAAGTACTTTTGATCTCACAGCGAAATCTACTGTCTTAGAATTGTTCATCTGAAACGTTCTGCTAATAGAAGAAATGATGGTTTGGGGTAATAACAGCCAACATAATTTTTTTCTAGTTAAAACTATTCATGTCTAAGCTTTTGGAGGCAGGCTAGATGGATGGAGTTCTTGTTTAGAGCACTTTCACCAGGGAATTCAGTATTGATGTTCTCAAAGAGAATGGAATTAATACATCAGTTTGAGTGGAGAAAAAAACTATCCCAGGACCTTTTCAATTAAAGTAGACCTGATCCAGTTGTGTAGTTCTAACAGAAAAATAATTATTCATGAACATGGGAAATATAGTAAAAGTAGCAGAACTTAGGGTATACAAAATCAAATTATAATATACATGAGGCCTGACTGATTCTGATGGCTAAATGTCCCCAGCTATATACACATTCCCACGGAGATTAGCTTGTTCAAAGGAACAAATTGGAAATGTTTTTAAAAATAGAGGTATTATGTAACTGAGACACAATTCTGAGATCTCAAATATATGCTCTTCCTCTGCTGGCTTCTTCACATTCTGCATTCATGAGTCATCCTGGCTAATGCATTGATAACCCAGTTTTCAGTAGAAATGTGCAAGTTATGTGTATGGTGAAGGATGGTAATTAGTCTTTGGGTGGTGAACATGATGTAACCTACAAAGAAATTGAAATATAACGATGTATGCCTGAAATTTATACAGTGTTATAAACCAATGTTACCTCAATAAAAAAAAGAGAAATGTGCAGGTTAGATTTATTAGATGCTAAAGAATTGCAACTTTTAAGGGAATTTTACATTTTTAATATGTACCAAATAGATGTAAAGAGAAAGAAATTTACATTATCTTCTCATTTCCAAAACTGGACACCAAAATTTTATTGGAAAAAAAATTCTCAAAAACCCAAACTCCAACTGAGATATTAAAGGAGCTATATATTAAGTGAAACTCCATACGTTGCATTTAACTCAGTGCTGGAGCACGTTCTCTAAATGTGAGTAGAATAACATTTACACATGGGACAGAAGCATGGTTAAAACCTTTTATTGAACAGGCAATGCATTGTGCAATGGTTAAGGACACAGATGCCTAGTGGAAAAATTTAAAAATCATTTTTGGAAACAGTCTATGAACTGATGAACTCTGCTATGTTCCTTCTGCTCCTTCTTAGAGTGGCTATCTTCAGGAAAACTGATGGTTTTATAGCTGCTCTTGAAAATGGCATCCCTGTTTTACCATAAACATCATGCCTAATAGTAAACACGAAAGGAGAAGATGGGATCGACAGGCAAGACGACGACCAGAGACGCAAGCGGATTTCAGGTGGAAGCACAGACACACGTTCTCCCGGAATGCCCTCTCTTCTGGCCTTGGAGGTGTGTCCCAGTTATGCGTCAGCATTTCATTTCCATTTTCTTCCTTGTCCAGGCCCCGTTTATCAAGGGAATTCTGAAAGACTCACATTCATACCTTTGGGCACAGGACCTTGTTCCTGGCCCTTTTCAATGGTGTTCTTGTTCGCGCGCACCTCTGGCCCAGGCCTGTGGCTGTGTGTCTGTTCTCCTTGTTTGCCTGGTTCCTTCCTCTTCCCCGAGCTTGCTCTCCCATAACTTGATGACAAAATCACTCTTAAGTTTCATGGTTTGCTTGCCTTGATTTAGCGGCAGTTTTTAACTTAGTGACCCGTCAAAGTAGTGGACATTCTTTATCAGCACACTGTCAACCTATTTTATAATTTGGGGCATGTCACTCCAAGCTTGAGATTTCTTTCTGGCAAGTTCCATCCAGGATGGCTGATCTGTACTGGCGTAACTGGCTCTCTTCAGCTGATGCAATTCTTTCTCCATCATTATTGCAGACTGAGCTGCTGGAAAGATGACAAAACAAACAGAAACATGACCGGTGAGTTTGGATTTTCACTTAAGCCTCTTGCTTTTCTTTAAAATATACATTAAGGTCTCAACTGTGGTCTCAAAGATAAAATCCGTCAATGTGTAACCATGTAAAGAAGATTTAGGTATAGAATAATTTATGTGATAAAAAGACTTAAGAGCAGTTCAGACAGTTCCAGCAAGGCAGAGAGGTGAGAGATTTTCCCAGAAAAAAACTGCAGGAACTCTGGAGGCTGGTGGCACAACAGTGTGAATATTCTTAACACTGCAGACCTGTAGACTTAAAAATGGTTAAGACAGTAAATTTTATGTTTATTTTGCCACAATGAAAAATAAATAAAAAATATAGATACACGCAACAACAGAGATGAATGTAAAAACATCATGCTCAGTGAAAGAAGCCAGATGCAAAAGAACACTTATTTTATGATTCCATTTATGAGAAATGTCCAAAAAAGGTAATATATAGAGACGGAGAGTAGATTAGTGGTTGCCTAGAGCTGGGGGTGGGAATGGTGAATGATGGTGAACGACTGTAAATGGGCATGAGGTTGCCTTTTAGGGTGAGGGAAAGGTTCTAAAATTGGATCGTGATGGTTGTACAACTCGTAAACAAACACTCATTGTCAACATTTACTCACTGAATTGTACATTTAAAATGGATGAGTTTTATGCCATGTCAATGATATCTCAATAAAAGCTGTTCAAAAAAATCAATGCAGCAAGTCATTCAGAAAAACAAAATAAAAAAAGCAAGACCAATCCCGGAAACGCATTTCAAGGTGTTCGGTAACATCTGCAGGTCTCATACCCAAGTTCTGATGGGACAATGAGATCCCTCTTTGCAGCCCCTCCTGGAGACGGAGCCTCGTCCCCTCCCTCCGGTCCACAGATGGCTTAGCAGGGGCTATCAGGAAAGATTTGCTGCGGACAAAGTCGGCTTGCTTCATGGGCTCCTATTAGGACACAAGAAGGGAACACATGTTGTCTGGTCACCTGAGACTCAGATGGGGGCAAAGGTGACCAAAGGTAATGAGCCACAGGGTGTCTCTGCCAACATGAATCCTGTCGCTGGCACTTTCTTGGGAGCTCTCATTTGCGCACTCCCTGATGTTGAGCCTTCAGGATGCTGGAGCTCATGCTAGTGGGGGGCCTCAGGCTGTGCATACAAGGGCGTCCTAATGTCTGCTCTCTCCCGCACCTGGCCTCGGCCCCAGATGTTGGAGGGCAGGGGTTCCATTTCAAAGTCAAAATGAATTGTGTTTGGAAATAATTTGGAGATTTTTAGGATGCTTGGTATGATGCCCCAAACTGGGATCACTGGTTAATACTTGTCTTGTAAACTCCCTAAGCCTGCAGGAGGGTTTTCAAGCGTGGGTACAATCGAGGTTTTGGTTAAAACGAAGGGAAGCAGGTCCTACTGCAGGCTCAGGCTCATTTCCCACATGGCTGACATACGCTTATGGGTTTACCGTGGTGGGCACTGGGGGGAATACAAAAGCTGCTAGCCTCAGCCTGCTTCTAAGCATAGCTGTTTGGGTTTGAGAAGGTTGTCTTCAGTCCAGAGTGCCAAATGGAACCCTGGGTTCCAGCTCTGCAGTCCTAAGTGAGGAAAAAGGAGCCCCAGCAAATGGCCAGCATAGCAGCAAAAACAGGGCTCGTCCATCACTGTGCAGTGAGCTGAGATGGGGATGTGGACATGGTTACAGTGTGTCTAGCCAAGAAGTTACTTTAACCCTGTGCCATTTCTTCAGATGCTCAGCTGCACTGCCTAGGAGGCAGGGAGCAGAGAACTGTCTCCACTGCCTTAGAGATCCATCCGCCTGTCTGCCTCCCTAACAGCCCGACCCATGCAAACGGCAGACAGCAGCCGTCATCAGAGGCAATGGTCTCAGCAATGACCATGCAGGATGGATGGGCATCGCGGGCGCGCGACCCCCAGCCCAGCCAGCTGCTCTCTCCTGCACCTGCACAGACAGACAGGGTTTGCTCTAAGCACCTGGGCTCTCTCTGGTGCCTTGGCTTGCTTTCCTACTTCCGACTTCAGGGGCCGGGCCCCAGGCCTGTCTTCCTGGTTGGGAGGCTGCTCCGGGGCACCTCGCCGCTTCTGCCGAGCCATGGTGATCCAGGGTGGCGCAGGCTGGCCCTCGGCTCCGGGCTCCGCTGCTGCGGGAGGCAAGCCCTTCTCTGCGGGTAAAGACACAAGGTTACCTCCTAGTCCTAGCCCCTCTTTAGTCTCACCTTTGGCTTCTCCCCGACAGAGAGCACTCTGCAGGGGAGAGAGGGGGAGGGGTCTGGGAGTCTCTCTAGGGAGACGACTACTTTTCTTCAGGGGACTTTGTTTTCTCATTTAAAGACGCATCGAAGAGATTATGCTCCTCTAGTCTGAGCCACAAAAACTTAAGTGCAACAGCTCCTATGTGCACACTTTAAAGCCAACGTCCTCCTACAGCATAGTTTCTGGAATGAGACAAAAGTACACAAATATACAAGGTTTCTTCCACACAAGCCTGCCATTTTGGACCAGCACAAACTACCTGATTCCGAATTTGCTTGGAAGTTGTAGACACACTATTATTCTCTTTTCTTTAAAAAACTATAAGCATCACCTTCCCTTTGTAGGGGTGACACCAAAACCAGCCACAGTTGTTTTCCTTAACATTCTAGAGAGAAGAGAAATAGCGCCTTTAAAACCTTAACGTTCTGTTGGATTTTCTTCCATGTTCGCTGTGCTCATCTCTGGGTAGTAAAACTGTGGGTCATTTTCCACCTTACTTTTCAACTCTACTGTATTTTCATATTTTCTGTGATGAGAATTTATTACTTTCATCAACAGAAAAAAGAAGCGAGCTTCTTTTTTACAAGGAAACCTCTGGATTAAATAAGTGGCTTCTCACAGGCATATCAGAAGTACACTGAGCCCAGAGGTCCCCCACGAGCCCGCCTCTCTGGATGTGTGCGTGTGCCTGCCCCCACACGGAGCAGACAGAAGCCTATTTGCACACCCCGACCCCTGGCCCTTGCCTGTTTCCCTTCTCCCCGGTGCACCTTGGTCAGCCTGGTGAAGGCGGCGCCCAGCTGACAGCAACACATGCAGATGTCCAGGACGAGTTAGTGTCATGGTTCTCTGTGGCCTGACCTACGCCACCCCTTGCTCTGTCGTGTATAGGATATTACTCTATTTGTTTTTGCTTCTGCCTCCAGTTCAACCTGGAGTCCTTTTCTCTCAGTCCCCTGGACACCAAGGAGGGGCAGGGACAGGAGCCACTGCTCTGCAGCTTTAGTCTCCTGGCAGAATTGAGAAGCGCCTTTGGCTTCACACCCACTGACCTCTCCTTGGCCTGTAGCTGGGAATGGCTCTGCTATTCTCCTGGCTGCTCCTGGAGGCCTCCACCCGACTGGTCCCCTGGCAACTCCACTCCATCTCTTTGACTCATCCCTGTCCCTTCCTGCCTCTTCTGGCTCTCCCTGGCCACTGACTTCTTCCCTGCTGCTGTGCAAAATGCCTGGGTCTCCAGCTCAAAGGAAAATGTCTCCGCTGAGCCTGGCCGTCTCCTTGAAGCTCCACTTCTCCATTCTCGTCTACCCACAGCTCAAACAGCCTCTGCCTGTGTCTCTTCGGCTAATTCCTGACCCAGCCATAACATCAACACTGCTCTCTCCATTGGCCCACCCACTGAACCACCGATCCCAGGGTCCTTCCCGTTCTCAACCTGCGCCACGCCCCCTGCAGCTCTGCTGCGCCCATACAACCTCACTGGGGGGGGCCTGTCCTTGGGGGAGCCCTCTTCATGTCCTTGTCAGACACCTGCTCCTAAACCTGGGAACTCCTCCTGTTCCCAACCCTTAGCCTTCATCTCTTCTTCCCAAAATGTTCTCCGTGTTCCATTCCTGATTTCAACACTCACATTTGCCCAGATTACTTCCAAATGTACAATCAGCCCTACTTTCTGTTCTTAGCCAGAGTCCAACATTTCTACTCCCCTGCTCCACATTTTCTTTCTTCCCTCCTAACTCCCTTCCTTCCTTCCTTTCATTCATTCATTCAGTGTTTGCTATGGCCAATGACTGCGTTAAATGCTAGGTGGAAAAATAAACAACAAATTGTTCCTTCAAAAAGCTCAAAGTCTAGCAGGAGAGGCTCTGTACAAACAAGTAACCATGGTGGAAACTGGAAAGCACTACCGTTTACCAAGTGCTGTGTGGACACAGGGCCTAACACCAGTGGGTAGGGGGTGAGGGTGCTGTTGGGGTGGGACCTGGAGAAGGAGAACCAACCTTTCTTCCAGGCTGAGCAGAGGAGCAAGGAAAGGCCTCCGGGGGCAGAAGGCAGAACTGTGGGCAGCCCAGCCCAGAGGGCTGAAGGGCAGGTGGGGCCCACTGAGAAGGGTCTTCCTGGCCTTTTTCCCGTCCATAATGTGGAGTCACGGGGCTTAAACCACAGGTGCTGCGGACGCTAAGTCTCACTGGGGAGGGATGGGAGGCTGGGAGGTGCGGAGGGAGGCTGTGGCCACGGTCCAGGGGAGGTGACGAGGGACTGGACACCCTGTTCCGGAATCATCCCTGCTTGCCCACCTGGGATGGCCCTGCCTGATGCCACCTCCTCCACGAAGCCTGCTCTGGTCAGCCTAGCTGGAGATGCTCCCGCTCTCCTAATTCTTTGTGACTCTCTTGAGAAATTTACCCCACCGTTTGGTACTAGAAATACTTGCTGGCTCACCATCTGCCCCACTGACATATGCTTTTGGTCATTAGAACTTCTTATTTATTTAACAAACACAAGCCATGGACGATGTGCCAGGTACCGTTCTACTATTAACTCACTTACAGCATAATTTTACATTTTATTTCTTGTCCAGAGAGCCCGGTGACTGCCTGGCACATGAAGGTGCTGGGTGGTTGCACGTATTATAGGAAGTCTGCATTTCTCATCCCTCCTTCTCAATCCCTCATCCAGAGAGTCCTCAGAGTCTCTGTCTTTCTGGACTTTTCTTACAAGGTTCCTTTTACTTCTTCTTCGGTCTTTTCTTCACACTCAGTGACCAGTCATCACTCTCCTGGCCCACGATGCCTGGCTGTGCTGTCCTCTCAGCTCTGCCCAGTGTGTGCTGGTCAGGTACCTTTGCCACACCCCAGGCAGATGGAGAGAGGGGTTTCACTCCTGGGTTAAACTCACTCCCTCAGTCAACAAGATCATCTGAGTAATTCTGTCCAGACTAAGAGTACATGGACAGGAAATTTCCATCCCAGGGTTTAAACTAGAGGCAGAATGGTAGTTGTGAAACACCAAGGCAGCCCCGGCCCCTCAAAGGGCCCCTCGGGCTGGCTCTCAGCCTGCTTGCAGCCCAGTGTGGAGCGCTTGGCGCTCATGTCACATGACATAGCTCTAGTCAATTCCTATGCCATGCACTTGATTACCCTATCAGAGCCAAAAAAAGTATTTTAAAAATCACTGGAGAAGATCATACGGAACAGGGAACATGTGGCGTTCCTGGGGACCACAGTGAGAGGTGGCCCTAGAGCGAGACTGGGAGCCCCAAGGGTGGACCGAGGCTGGGGACCTCCATGGGCCAGGCTTGAGGCTGACATCTCAGGGAACTGAGGCAAGTCCTATTCTTCCTTCCTGTTTGCTCATGGGAACTGCAGTCCTGTAAACGATACAACCAGGCTCAGCTTGGCAGGAGGTGACTTTCCTTTTCCTTACATCCAGATTTCATCCCCAGCATGGGGGGGGGTCACTCGCCACGTTGCCTGTCTGTGATGCAATATTTCGGGCTGTGCTTTGCGTGTGTATGTGTACACGTGTCTGTGTTCATGGGCAGACCCAGAGGAATGAGAGAGCATCACAGTGGGGCCAGGCTGTGCCAGCGTGGGACAAAGCAACTCACAATCACAGTGGCCCCAAGGGCTGGGCCAGGCACATGGCCAAGATCTTTCACCAACTGTTTCTATATCTTTTGGTTCCCACTTCTTTTCACTGAGTGGTGGTCTTTCCTTATATTCTGTACTCCCCTTTCCCACTTTCTTCCTCATCAGGGATGCAAATGGGCCAGAGCTGAGGCCTCCAGACCCTTTCTAAGGACTGCCCAGGGACAGCCTCATGGGTGGAGGGTGCAGGAGTGGTGGACGGGGTTCCAGACACCACAAAGAAGGGACAAAAGCCACTACAGCAGCTTTCTCCTATGGTTCCGAGAGGCCTGAGATTCTACCTGGGGTCTCGTGTAACCTACCGGTAAGCAGGTGAGCACAGGCAGAGAGCACTGGGTGATAAGCCATTCTGCTCTGTGACAGAAAGCCTAGGCGGCCACCCTGATCTGCACCCCCACCCCTTGCACTTGGTGCCCACAGTGGGGTTAAGGGCTGTGGGGTGTGTGCCATACTCCACAAGGGGAGGGAAGGAGAGGAGAACAAAGACAGGGACTGTGGAGATGAGGCAGGGTTCAGGGGCCAAAGACCCTACAATGGGACAGCTCTATAGCAGGAACATTTAGGGTCAAGGTTCCACCACAAAACAGCTTCTGAGATTAAACACGTTCAAAATGTCACTAATCCCAGGATCATGTAGATGTGGTATCAGACTAAACAAAAGGAGTTGAAAACAATTCTTCGTTCACCTCTTTCTGCTTCAACACACAGATAACCGTCATCTCCTGGGGATTTGGCTAAAGGGCTCTGACATCTCAATTTCTCCTCCCAACATGACAACAGGTTTAAGCTATCAGGTGGGCCTGGGTTTGCAAGGAACAGCCCAGCAGCATTTCTCATGCACAGGAAGCCAGCAATTCACGTCTGTATCTGTGTGACCCCCTTTACTGAGAGTCTGGAAGAAACTGACTCCCCACAACACAAGTGCCCTGGAAAGAAAGGCAGCATATGTAGACCGAAACTTTCCGAAGGCAGAATGCCTCAGACGCGGGAAGCTGTAACAGCCACAAGGCTCATCCTAAATAATTTAATTTCATATGAAGACAACTTTTGATCAGGGAAAATAGTTTTTTTTTTTTTGTAAAGACATGATGACTTCAAATGGGGAGGCTCTGAGGAGTTTATAAGTTTGCTTTTCTCCAGACTCCATACTTCATCTTAACATGCTCCCCAACCTGAAGGATTTAGTTTGAAAGTATATTTATTGCTCAAGCATTAATTTCCACGAGCTCCTGTTCTCTGGGTTGGTTCACTGGGCTGCG